ACTAAACACTACCTAATAAATTCCCTGTAACCCACCTCACTCCTTTATTGTCAACCCATGTCTGTTATTTTATTATTATTATTTTTTTTTTAATCAACACTGTTTGTCAACCTATTGTATTTGTGCTGCTTTTTCAGTCATGTTCCCCCTTTTTTTTATCTTTATTTGTATTTGTTTTCAACACTTTTTATTCTTTATGCTCAATTAGTATTAAGTTCTAGATATTAATGTTTTTCTTGCCCGAAACGCATTGCGTAATAGTGGCTTTAGGCATTGTATGTACTAGCTCTATCTTTATATCAATCCATTAATGTAACATCACTTGTATGTATGTACCTTACCTGAATAAACATATTTATTTATTTATTTATATTTTTATTTATCTTACAGGTAACTATCCACAGTCTCTGTACCTAAAGTATATTAATTTCACTGACGTCAATGAGATAATCCTTTTCCTTTAAACCAAGTCTAGTACCCTTGAGGAGATACCAACTTTAATTTACAAAAAAGCCTCCAGATCTTTATCCCCTGCTATTGCATTGCTCTTCAACAAGTCATTTGAACTCCAAACCTTTCCAGATATTCTAAAAAAAAAGCAAGAGTAACCCCTGTCCACAAATGTGGTGATCTCACAGATGTTAACAACTACAGACTTATATCAATCCTGCCTAACTTGTCAAAAATTTTTGAAAACTAATCTACAAGCAGCTTTACTCTTATCTAGCCAAACACAATATACTTAGCTCTTGCCAATATGGCTTCAGACCCAAAAAAGCATTAACGATGCACTTATTAGTATGATTAACTTGATACATGCAGCTCTTGATAAAAATGAGTTCCCTGTTGGGTTATTTGTGGACCTGCGTAAGGCTTTTGACACTGTCAACCACCAAAACCTTCTTCTTAAATTACATCATTATGGAGTCAGAGGACACTCCCTGCAATACCTCAAATCTTACCTTACTGACAGGCTCCAGTATGTTTCTGTGAATAATTTAATTTCTCCCACCCTACCCATCAACATTGGTGTTCCTCAGGGCAGCATACTTGGCCCTCTCCTCTTTCTCATCTACATTAATGACCTTCCAAATGCCTCCCAACACCTCAAACCATTTCTGTTTGCTGACGACTCAACCTTCATTTACTCCAGTCCTGACCCCCCTTGCTCTAAATGCTACAGTAAATACTGAGCCAAGTAAAGTCCATCTTTGGCTAACTGCCAACAAACTCGCCCTTAACTTTGACAAAACTTTCTATATTCTGTTTGGCAATAAATCCTCTAATCAAATAAATCTCAAAATAAACAATACTCAAATTTGTAACAAATTAGATGGCAAATTCCTTGGCGTTCTCATTGACCACAAGCTGAATTTCCAGGGACACATTCTAACTATATCAAAAAAAGTTTCAAAAACTGTTGGCATTCTTTCTAAGATCAGATATTATGTACCTCGCCCTGCCCTGGTGACTCTCTATTACTCCCTCATCTATCCATACCTCAACTATGGTATTTGTGCTTGGGGTTCTACTACCCAAAATCATTTATGTCCTCTAATTACTCAACACAAAGCTGCTATTAGGACAATATCCAACTCTGGCCCCAGACATCACTCGATACCCCTACTCAAATCTCTGAATATGTTAGATATTAAGTCACTGCACATTCTCTCTTGTGTATTATACGTATATAAAACGCTGAACTGTAATGCCAATCCTGACCTGAAAAGCTTCATAAAAGGTTGTAGCAGAACCCATGAGCACCACACCAGAAATAAATACAGTTTTGATATTCTAAGAGTACGACTTAATCAAACTAGAAATGTTCTTCAAATCAAGGGACCCAGAATGTGGAATGATCTTCCCAACCATGTTAAAGACTGTACCTCTCTTAACCAGTTTAAGATAAAAACGAAGCTATACCTAATAAATTCCCTGTAACCTACCTTACCCCTCTATTGTCAACCCATGTCTGTTTTTTTATTAAACGACGCTGTTTGTCGACCTAATTGTATATGTGCTGCTTTTTCAGCCATGTTCCCCCCTTTTATCTCTTTTTTTATTTGTTTTCAACACATTTTATTCTTTATGCTCAATTAGTATTAAGCTTTAGTCATTTAAGTTTTTCATGCCCGAAACGCTTTGCGTAATAGTGGCTTTAGGCATTGTATGTACTAGCTCTATCTATAAATCCATTATTCTTTGTAAAATCTCTTGCATGTATGTATGTACCTTACCTAAAAAAACATGTATTTATTTATTTATTTATTTATTTATTTATTTATTTATTTATTTATTTACAAGATGGGTATGGGGTTCACTACCACCCACAGGATGGGTATGGGCTTCACTACCACCCACTAGATGGGTATGGAGTCCACTAGCACCCACAAGATGGCCAATGCCATCTTGGCAATACTGAGACTTTCCTAGTCTCAGGTGGAAAATAGCAAACAATAATATTATACCAGGAAATCTATCGGGACCTAACCAACCACAGATTAGAGAACTACTTAGATTCTGTGACAAATTTTCACTCAATCAGCAGATATCGGAGCCAACGAGAAATGAAAATATTTTAGATCTGGTCTTTACGAACAATGAAGACATTATCAGAGACATTACGATATCAGATACCACATACTCAGATCACACGCTCATTGAAGTGCAAACGACCATCAATACTCAAAATAGACCTAAAACGTTGATAAAGCGAGAGGGGCTATTCAGTAAATTAAATTTTAATAATAAAAGAATAGACTGGGAGATAATAAACAGGGAACTTACAAACATTCCATGGGAAACTGTTCTAAGTAATACAAGTCCTACAGAAGGAATAGAAAAACTGACTTCGGAAGCGTATCAAGTCTGTCTGAAACATGTTCCTTTGAGGAAAGTCAGAAAGAGATCCAACGTAGAAAGAGAACGCAGACGACACTATAAACGCAGGAAAAAAATAACGGAACTGCTTATGCAGACACGAATTTCCCGTCAAAGAAGGAATAATTTAAATAGGGAGATTGAAGAAATCGAGCGGAAATGGAAACACTCATATGAAACCTGAAGAAAGGCAGTTAGAACAGAAAGCAATTCAGGAAATAAAGAAAAATCCAAAATATTTCTTCTCATATGCGAAGTCAAAAGCAAAAACCACTGCCAGTATTGGACCTATTCGTACAAGTGAAGGTTCATATACGGAGGATGACAAAGAAATTAGTGAAATCCTAAAAAAGCAGTATGAGGACATGTTTAGCACTTCAATAAACAACATGAAAGTGGAAGATCCAGATAATTTCTTTATGCGAGATATTCAAACCCCTGTAAATATAACTGATATCAACACAAGCGCACTAAATTTTCAAAGAGAAATTGAAAACATGCCCATGCACTCGGCCCCAGGTCCAGACTCATGGAATTCAATATTTATAAAGAAATGCAAAGTGCCGGTAGCACAGTCACTCAGTATAGTGTGGAGGAAGAGCTTGGACACGGGGGAGATACCAGATGCACTTAAAGTAGCCCCTCTACACAAGGGAGGGAGCAAAGCATTGGCAAAGAATTATAGACCAGTTGCACTAACATCGCACATCATAAAAGTATTTGAGAGAGTGATTAGGAGTCAGGTCACCAATTTCATGGAGACCAATGACCTTCACAACTCAGGCCAACATGGATTTCGAGCGGGAAGATCGTGCCTCTCACAGCTACTTGAGCACTACGACAAAGTCACTGAGGCATTAGAAGAAAAACAGAATGCTGATGTGATATACACGGACTTCGCAAAGGCTTTCGATAAATGTGACCATGGCGTGATAGCACACAAAATGAAGTCAATGGGAATAACCGGTAAAGTAGGACGCTGGATTCTCAGTTTTCTGTCAAACAGGACTCAGCGAGTAACGGTCAACCATATAAAATCTAGTCCAAGTGCAGTTAAAAGCTCTGTACCTCAGGGTACAGTCCTTGCACCGCTGCTTTTCCTTATTCTCATATCAGATATAGACAAAAATACAAGTCACAACTTCGTATCATCCTTTGCAGATGACACAAAAATCAGTATGAGCACGGTATGGCTCGTCCGGTGGCGGGAATTTCTGTTAGCCAATCAGAACCACCGGGCGAGGTAACGAGTGCTGGCCGGAGCATGTGGAGAAACAGACCTCTACTCTCCTCCATTCAGTCAACATGCTGTCGTCACTTTCGGATGTTTGACCAACGGACCCAACTGTTCCAGTATGCTCCACCCACGCCAAAGGAAACGGACGTGAGGACCTAGCGGCATGGTAAACGTCTCTGAGGTCGTGGAAGGCACCGTCATTGATAGTTAGAGGCGTTGAGGTAACACACAGTTTCCGAATAGTGGTCCTAATTACGGAAAAGTGGATGATCTATAAGTGGGAAGAACAATCGGACAAGAGACGACCATTTCATGGTCGCAGTCACTTTCTATATATATATAATATATAATATATATATATATATATATATATATATATATATATATATATATATATATATATATATATATATATATATATATATATATAACTGTACTTATGTACAATACTTTAATATATATACATGTAATATATTGTATATAATGTGGATCGAGATATATCTGAATATATCCATGATGAAGTTTTTATACAAACTTATTTTCTTGTCCTCTGGCAGACCTCAGCACAAAGTGTGTCGCACCTGACAATAGGTCCGGCTGAGGGTGACACCTGAACAAATTAATGTACCCCGTTATTTTACAACGAAACATAAGATAAGCACTCAGAATAAACCTATTTTAAATGTGTTGGGTTGTCGACAGTTCGATCCCAACACGAGCCAGCATAAAGCACACGACAGAAGGCAGCCCTCCACGAGCCAGCATAATGCACGTGACAGAAGGCTGCCCTCCACGGGCCAGCATAATGCACGTGACAGAAGGCTGCCCTCCACGGGCCAGCATAATGCACGTGACAGAAGGCTGCCCTCCACGGGCCAGCATAATGCACGTGACAGAAGGCAGCCCTCCACGAGCCAGCATAATGCACGTGACAGAAGGCAGCCCTCCACGAGCCAGCATAATGCACGTGACAGAAGGCAGCCCTCCACGAGCCAGCATAATGCACGTGACAGAAGGCTGCCCTCCACGGGCCAGCATAATGCACGTGACAGAAGGCTGCCCTCCACGGGCCAGCATAATGCACGTGACAGAAGGCAGCCCTCCACGAGCCAGCATAATGCACGTGACAGAAGGCAGCCCTCCACGAGCCAGCATAATGCACGTGACAGAAGGCAGCCCTCCACGAGCCAGCATAATGCACGTGACAGAAGGCAGCCCTCCACGAGCCAGCATAATGCACGTGACAGAAGGCAGCCCTCCAAGAGCCAGCATAATGCACGTGACAGAAGGCAGCCCTCCACGAGCCAGCATAATGCACGTGACAGAAGGCAGCCCTCCACGAGCCAGCATAATGCACGTGACAGAAGGCAGCCCTCCACGAGCCAGCATAATGCACGTGACAGAAGGCTGCCAACCACGGGCCAGCATAATGCACGTGACAGAAGGCTGCCCTCCACGGGCCAGCATAATGCACGTGACAGAAGGCAGCCCTCCACGAGCCAGCATAATGCACGAGACAGAAGGCAGCCCTCCACGGGCCAGCATAAAGCACGTGACAGAAGGTTGCCCTCCACGAGCCAGCATAATGCACGTGACAGAAGGCAGCCCTCCACGAGCCAGCATAATGCAGTGACAGAAGGCTGCCCTCCACGGGCCAGCATAATGCACGTGACAGAAGGCAGCCCTCCACGAGCCAGCATAATGCACGTGACAGAAGGCAGCCCTCCACGGGCCAGCATAATGCACGTGACAGAAGGCAGCCCTCCATGAGCCAGCATAATGCACGTGACAGAAGGCAGCCCTCCACGGGCCAGCATAATGCACGTGACAGAATGCACGTGACAACGTAAACTTGTCTCATTGTCAGAAATGGTCAAGAAACTATTAAATTCTTTATATATAATTCTGTGCACCAGAAATCTTGGCAAAATTGTCTAAAATTAGATCACTGGAGGTCGTACGTGTAGTGTCTGTGTCGTCCCTGCGCCGTTCACTGGAAGTCGTACGTTCAGTGTCTGTGTCGTCCCTGCGCCGTTCACTGGAAGTCGTACGTTCAGTGTCTGTGTCGTCCCAGTGCCGTTCACTGGAGGTCGCACGTGTAGTGTCTGTGTCGTCCCTGCGCCGTTCACTGGAGGTCGTACGTGTAGTTTCTGTGTCGTCCTTGTCCCGTTCACTGGAGGTCGTACGTGTAGTGTCTGTGTCGTCCCTGCGCCGTTCACTGGAAGTCGTACGTTCAGTGTCTGTGTCGTCCCAGTGCCGTTCACTGGAGGTCGCACGTGTAGTGTCTGTGTCGTCCCTGCGCCGTTCACTGGAGGTCGCACGTGTAGTGTCTGTGTCGTCCTTGTCCCGTTCACTGGAGGTCGTACGTGTAGTTTCTGTGTCGTCCCAGTGCCGTTCACTGGAGGTCGTACGTGTAGTGCAGTCTTTGCAGTCTTCGTGGCGTAGTGGTAAGACACACGCCTGGCCTTTCGCGAGCGCTTTGTCCTGGGTGGAGGATTTACTGGGCGTCATTCCTTTACTATAGCTTCTGTTTACCCAACAGTAAAATGAGTACCTGGTTGTTAAACGATTTGGCGGGGTCGTATTCTGGGGAATATTAAGATTAAGGACTTGTCAGAAACGCAACGTTTGCTAGTGGCTGTACAGGAATGTACTCTTGCATATATAAATAAATAAATAGTGTCTGTGTCGTCCCTGTGCCGTTCAAAGCAGGTTGTGCATACAGGTGACTATTATTCACTCTGCCAGCATCCCTCTCTAGGGATGGTGGCCTGCCCGTGGAGGGTTCCCCACTCCCTGAGTAAGTTGCTGAAGATAGTGAACTGAGGTCCCCCCATTACCTTCCCATTCCTTGCTTCTGCTGCACTGTCTTTCTCTTCTCTCGCTACGTCCCTCTGCACATTCTTTATTTCCTTACTATCAGAAGATTGCTCTTCCTGGATAGGATGGCATCTTTTGTTGCCTCGTTGGTGAACACTGTTATTAGTGAAGCGTGATTAGTTTTCTGTTTTGGCTTAACAGAGAGTGGCGGAAATACTTAAGAACATAAGACCGTAAGAATAAAGGTAACTGCAGAAGGCCTAATGGTCCATACAAGTCAGCTTCTATTTATAACCACCCAATCTCATTCACATAAATGTCTAACCTACGCTTAAAACAATCAAGGGATCCTACTTCAATTACAATACGTGGTAATGGGTTCCAGAAATGAACAACTCTGTTACCGAACCAGTATTTACCCAGGTTTTTCCTAAATCTAAGCTTATCCACTTTATACCCATTGTTTCGTGTTGATACTTTTAATATCTTATTAATATTCCCTTTGTTACTTGGTACATTGTGGTAACGATGTTGTAGTTGTTATCTTGGTTATCTTGAGATGATTTCGGGGCTTAGCGTCCCCGCGGCCCTTTCCTCGACCAGGCTTCCTGTTTGTTACACATCAACAGGAAGCAGCCCGTAGCAGCTGTCTAACTCCCAGGTACCTATTTACTGCTAGGTGAACAGGTGCACCAGGGTGAAAGAAAAGTCTTGCCCATTTGTCTCCGCCTCCACCGGGGATCGAACCCGGAATCTCAGGACTACGAATCCGAAGCGCTGCCCACTCAGCTGTCAGGCGTGTTATTATATCATCTTTGAGAACCAGCATATCCATGTTGGAAGTTGGGTGAGGGTTCAGTAGGTCACACGAGGAGCGGACTGGTGTGAAGGGCAGGTGTAGCCCCAGCACCAGCCAGCCAGGGAGGAAGTATTAGGGCGTGTGAAGGGCAGGTGTAGCCCCAGCACCAGCCAGCCAGGGAGGAAGTATTAGGGCGGGCGAGGCGGTCGAGGCGCCGCCGCCAGCCCCTAGCAACAGTCCCGCCTCCCAGTGTTGCCAGTGCTCGCCTCCACCACCCCGCCGCCCAGCGTTGCCAGTCTCCCCACAACAAAGAAAATATGTCCTTCACCACTTATTTTAGTTTTATATATTTAGCACCAGAGTCCTGTACACCAAGAGTCATGAACACCAAGAGTCTGTACACCAAGAGTCATGTACACCAAGAGTCTGTACACCAAGAGTCATGTACACCAAGAGTCTGTACACCAAGAGTCATGTACACCAAGAGTCATGTACACCAAGAGTCATGTACACCAAGAGTCTGTACACCAAGAGTCATGTACACCAAGAGTCTGTACACCAAGAGTCATGTACACCAAGAGTCTGTACATCAAAAGTGCTGTGTATCAGGAATTCTGTACACAGAGTCTTGTACACCAAGAGTCATGTACACCAAGAGTCTGTACATCAAAAGTGCTGTGTATCAGGAATTCTGTACACAAAGAGTCTTGTATATCAAGAGTACTGTACACCAAGAGTCTTGTACACCAAGAGTACTGAACACCAAGAGTCTTGTACTCCAAGAGTACTGAACTCCAAGAGTCTTGTACACCAACAGTCGTGTAAATCAGGAGTCCTGCACATCAGGAGTCCTCTAAATCAGGAGTCTTGTGCATCAGGAGTCCCGTACACCAAGAGTCTTGTACACCAAGAGTCCTGCATATCAAGAGACTTGTACACCAAGAGTTCTGAACACCATGAGTACTGTACACCAAGAGTCTTACACAACGAGTTCTGTGCACAAAGAGTTCTGTATATCAAGAGTCTTGTACACGAAGACCTATATACATCAATAAAATTGCACAATAAGAGTCCTGTACATCAAGAATCCTGTACATCAAGAGTTCTGTACATGAAGAGTCCTGAACACCAAGAGCTCTGTACACCAAGATTCCTGTACGCAAATTAAATTTTGGCCTGAGGGGCGAGTTTATTGGGCAGCGTCACTCATCCTGTGAGTGGACACACCGCCATAGCGGCATGTACAACACTCCCCAATAGGAAGAAAACCCGCTGGGTTGTTCATCCTGTCACTTGTACCCAGACACAGCTGGGACTTGCTTAACTGTCTCGTGTGAACAGCTCCTCAAACAAGAAGATTAACATCTGTCTACCCTTAAAAGTTTACGTTATCTTGCGGGTGCAAAATGGGTAAATCTTTTAAGAACAGTATAAATATTTGACAAATAGTGTTTTCCTAACTCAAACAATCTGGGGGTTTATTGAACGCAAAGTTATGTACAGCAAGAGTCCTTAACATCAAGAACCCTGTACACCAAGTGTCCTGTACATCAAGAGTCCTGTATATAAAGAGTCTTGTACACCAAGAGCCCTGGACACCAAGCGTTTTGTATGTCATGGGTCTTGTGCACTATGACCCCTGTACATAAATAGAATCGTACATTAAGAGTTCTGTACATCAAGATTCCTGTTCACCAAGTTATGTACAACAAGAGATCTGAACATCAAGAAAATGGAATATCAGGAGTCCCGTACACCAAGAGTCCTGTGCATCAAGAGTCCTGTACACCAAGAATCTTGTACACCAAGAGCTCTGTGCATCAAGAATCTTGTACGCCAGGAGTTCTGTACACCAAGAGTCTTGTACACCAACAGTCTTGTACATAAAGAGTCCTCAACATCAAGTGTCCTGTACATTCATGAGTCCTGTACATCAAAAGTCGTGTACATCAAGAGCCCTGTGCATCAAGAACTATGTACACCAATAATCCTGTACACCAAAAGTCCTACACATCATCAATAAAATTGTAAATTAAGAGTCCTGTACACAAAGAATCCTGAACACCAAGTTATGTTCAGAAAGAGTTATATACACCAAGAAAATTGAACGTCAGGAGTCTTGTACACCAAGAGACCTGTACACAAAGTTATGTACACCGAGAGCCCAGTACATCATGAAAATTGTACATGAAGAGTCCTCTACATGAAGATTTCTGTAAACCAAGAATTATGTACACAAAGAATCCTGTACACCAAAAGTCTTGTACACCTTTGCCTTTGGTGACAGGCAAGAGGCACTGAACTACAGGCCAGTTTCCCTAACTTGAATACCAAGGAAGGTGATGGAGAAGATCGTGAGGAAAAGGCTCGTAGAGCATCTGGAGGGAAATAACTTTGTAACACACCACCAACATGGGTTCAGAGATGGTAAATCGTGCCTCACAGGTATAATAATATTCTATGACCAAGCAACAAAAATTAGGCAGGAAAGAAAAGGGTGGGCCGACTGCATTTTCCTGGACTACTAGAAAGAAAGCCTTTGACACAGTACCCCAAAAAAGACTGTTGAAAAAGTTGGAGCAACAGGCAGGAGTAAAAGGGAAGGTGCTCCAGTGGATAAGGGAGTACTTAAGCAACAGGAAACAACGAGTAACGGTGAGGGAGGGGGGGGGGGGAGACATCAGAGTGGCGAGATGTCACCAACGGAGTCTCACAGGGCTCAGTACATGGACCTATCCTGTTTCTAATATATGTGAACGATCTTCCGGAGGGCATAGACTCGTTCCTCTCAATGTTTGCTGATTATGCAAAAATTATGAGAAGACTCAAGACGGATGAAGATAGACAGAGACTACAGGATGACCTGGACCAACTGGGGGAATGGTCTAGAAAATGGCTGCTAAAGTTCAACTCAGGAAAGTGTAAGGTAATGAAATTAGGCGAAGGGAACGAGAGAAAGATCTGGGTGTTGATATCACACCGAACCTAGCTGTCCCCAGAGGTCCACATCAAAAGGATATCATCAGAGGCATATGCTAGACTGGCCAACATAAGAACTGCCTTTTGAAACTTGTGTAAGGAATCGTTTAGGACCCTGTATACCACTTATGTCAGACCAATCATGGAATATGCAGCTCCAGCCTGGAGTCCATACCTAGTTAAACACAAGACAAAGTTAGAGAAGATTCAGCGGTATGCCACTAGGCTCGTCCCGGAACTGAGAAGTATGAGCTACGAGGAAAGGCTAAAGGAGCTGAACCTCACGTTCCTGGAAAACAGAAGAGTAAAGGAAAACATGATAACCACCTACAAAATTCTCAGGGGAATTGACAGGGTGGACAAAGACAAACTTTTCAGCACGGGTGGGACACGAACAAGGGGACACAGGTGGAAACTTAGTACCCAGATGAGCCACAGAGACGTTAGAAAGAATTTGTTCAGTGCCAGGAATGCACTAGGAAGTGATGTGGTGGAGGCTGACTCCATACACAGTCTCAAATGTAGGTATGATAGAGCCCAGTAGGCTCAGGAATCTGTACACCAGTTGATTGACAGTTGAGAGGCGGGACCAAGGAGACAAAGCTCAATCCCAATTAGGTGAGTACAATTAGGTGAGTACACCACGAGTCATGTGCACCAAGAGTCCTGAACATGAAGAGTCCAGTACATCAAGATTCTTGTACATCAGGAGTCTTGTACATCAAGAGTCTTGTACATCAAGAGTCTTGTACATCAAGAAGCCTGTACATTAGGAGTCCTGTGCATCAAGAACTCTGTACATGAAGAGTTCAGTATATCAATAGTCCTGATCATTACAGATCCCTAAACGTGAAGAATTTTGAATATCAAGATTTTTGTACACCAAGACTCATATACATCAATACAATTGTACACTAATAGTCCTGTACATCAAGAGTCCTGTACATCAAGAGTCCTGTACATCAAGAGTCCTGTCCATCAAGAGTCCTGTACACCAAGTTATGTATAGCATGGGTCCTCTACATCATGAGTTCATTACATTAAGAACCCTTTACACAACGAATCCAGTACATCAAGAGTCATGTACAGCAAGTATCCTGTACACAACGAGTTATTACATCAAGAGTACTGTACATCAAGAGTCTTGTACATCAAGAGTCCTGTACATCAATAGTCATGCACATCAAGAGTCCTGTACATCAAGAGTTCTGAACATCAGGAGTCCTTTATACAATTATTTCTGTACACCAAGAATCATGTACATCAAGAGTCCTGTACACAAAGAGTTCTGTACACCAAGAGTCCTGAACATCAAGAGTCCTGTACATCACGAAACAAATTATTTACAGTAAATGTTAGTGGCCCCTCGATAGGCCTAACATACGCCGTGTTCCCGTTAGTAGTATACGGTGTTCAACAGTACAACGGTGTATAGTATACCACACAGTAAACACGGCGGCTGTAGTGGTAATGTAAACACGGCAGCTGTAGTAGTAATGTAAACACGGCAGCTGTAGTGGTAATGTAAACACGGCAGCTGTAGTAGTAATGTAAACACGGCAGCTGTAGTGGTAATGTAAACACGGCAGCTGTAGCGGTAATGTAAACACGGCAGCTGTAGTGGTAATGTAAACACAGCAGCTGTAGCAGTAATGTAAACACAGCAGCTGTAGCGGTAATGTAAACATGGCAGCTGTAGCAGTTATGTAAACACGGCAGCTGTAGCGGTAATGTAAACACGGCGGCTGTAGCGGTAATGTAAACACGGCAGCTGTAGCGGTAATGTAAACACGGCAGCTGTAGCGGTAATGTAAACACAGCAGCTGTAGCGGTTACGTAAACACGGCAGCTGTAGCAGTTATGTAAACACAGCAGCTGTAGCGGTTACGTAAACACGGCAGCTGTAGCGGTAATGTAAACACGGCAGCTGTAGCGGTAATGTAAACACGGCAGCTGTAGCGGTAATGTAAACACGGCAGCTGTAGCGGTAATGTAAACACGGCAGCTGTAGCGGTAATGTAAACACGGCAGCTGTAGCGGTAATGTAAACACGGCAGCTGTAGCGGTAATGTAAACACGGCAGCTGTAGCGGTAATGTAAACACGGCAGCTGTAGCGGTAATGTAAACATGGCAGCTGTAGCGGTAATGTAAACACGGCAGCTGTAGCGGTAATATTGAATGTAATATACTGTCAGCATTCGTGTGTGCTTGTCAGCATGGGGGTGTGCTAATCGGCATGTGGGTGTGCTTGCCAGCATGCTGGTGTGCTTGCCAGCATGTGGGTGTGCTTGCATGCATGCTGGTGTGCTTTCCAGCGTGCTGGTGTGCTTGCCAGCATGCTGGTGTGCTTGCCAGCATGAGGGTGTGCTTGCCAGCGTGCTGGTGTGCTTGCCAGCATGCTGGTGTGCTTGCCAGCATGCTGGTGTGCTTTCCAGCATGCTGGTGTGCTTGCCAGCATGCTGGTGTGCTTGCCAGCATGAGGGTGTGCTTGCCAGCGTGCTGGTGTGCTTGCCAGCATGCTGGTGTGCTTGCCAGCATGCTGGTGTGCCTGCCAGCATGGGGGTGTGCTTGCCAGCATGCTGGTGTGCTTGCCAGCATGCTGGTGTGCTTGCCAGCATGAGGGTGTGCTTTCCAGCATGCTGGTGTGCTTGCCAGCATGCTGGTGTGCTTGCCAGCATGAGGGTGTGCTTGCCAGCATGCTGGTGTGCTTGCCAGCATGCTGGTGTGCTTGCCAGCATGCTGGTGTGCTTGCCAGCATGCTGGTGTGCTTGCCAGCATGCTGGTGTGCTTGCCAGCATGCTGGTGTGCCTGCCAGCATGCTGGTGTGCCTGCCAGCATGGGGGTGTGCTTGCCAGCATGCTGGTGTGCTTGCCAGCATGCTGGTGTGCTTGCCAGCATGAGGGTGTGCTTGCCAGCATGCTGGTGTGCTTGCCAGCATGCTGGTGTGCTTGCCAGCATGAGGGTGTGCTTGCCAGCATGCTGGTGTGCTTGCCAGCATGCTGGTGTGCTTGCCAGCATGCTGGTGTGCTTGCCAGCATGAGGGTGTGCTTGCCAGCATGCAGGTGTGCTTTCCAGCATGCTGGTGTGCTTGCCAGCATGAGGGTGCGCTTTCCAGCATGCTGGTGTGCTTGCCAGCATGAGGGTGTGCTTGCCAGCATGCAGGTGTGCTTTCCAGCATGCTGGTGTGCTTACCAGCATGCTGGTGTGCTTGCCAGCATGCTGGTGTGCTTGCCAGCATGAGGGTGTGCTTTCCAGCATGTGGGTGTGCTTTCTAGCATGTGGGTGTGCTTTCCAGCATGCAGGTGTGCTTGCCAGCATGCGGGTGTGCTTTCCAGCATGCAGGTGTGCTTTCCAGCATGCAGGTGTGCTTTCCAGCATGTGGGTGTGCTTTCCAGCATGCAGGTGTGCTTTCCAGCATGTGGGTGTGCTTTCCAGCATGTGGGGGGGGGGGGTGCTTGCCAGCATGCAGGTGTGCGTGCCAGCATACGGGTGTTCTTGCCAGCATGCAGGTGCGCTTATCAGGATATTGGTGTGCTTGCCAGCATGCGGGTGTGCTTGCCAGCATGCGGGTCTGCTTGCCAGCATGTGGGTGTGCTCGCCAGCATGCTGGTGTGCTCGCCAGCATGCTGGTGTGCTTGCCAGCATGCTGGTGTGCTTGCAAGCATGTGGGTGTGCTTGCCAGCATGCGGGTGTGCTTGCCAGCATGCGGGTGTGCTTGCCAGCATGCGGGTGTGCTTGCCAGCATGTGGGTGTGCTTGCCAGCATGCTGGTGTGCTTGCCAGCATGCTGGTGTGCTTGCCAGCATGCTGGTGTGCTTGCAAGCATGCGGGTGTGCTTGCATGCATGCTGGTGTGCTTGCCAGCATGCGGGTGTGCTTGCCAGCATGCGGGTGTGCTTGCTAGCATGCGCGTGTGCTTGCCAGCATGCGGGTGTGCTTGCTAGCATGCGCGTGTGCTTGCAAGCATGCGGGTGTGCTTGCATGCATGCTGGTGTGCTTGCCAGCATGCGGGTGTGCTTGCCAGCACGCGGGTGTGCTTGCCAGCATGCGGGTGTGCTTGCTAGCATGCGGGTGTGCTTGCATGCATGCTGGTGTGCTTGCCAGCATGCGTGTGTGCTTGCCAGCATGCGCGTGTGCTTGCATGCATGCCGGCTTGTCTGGACACGAGATATCGTATTCGGAGAGTCAGTGTTAAAGGTGCAGCGGGCGGAGACGGGCGCGCCGCTCTGCTTTTGTCTGGCGTTGATGTGAAGTGACCAGCCTGTTGACGAGGGTGGCGAGGCCGGACGGTGGTCGTACTTGTGCACAGTGTTGACGAGGGTGGCGAGGCCGGCTGTGGTCGTACTTGTGCACAGTGTTGACGAGGGTGGCGAGGCCGGCTGTGGTCGTACCTGTGCACAGTGTTGACGAGGGTGGCGAGGCCAGACGGTGGTCGTACTTGTGCACAGTGTTGATGAGGGTGGCGAGGCCAGACGGTAGTCGTACTTATGCACAGTGTTGACGAGGGTGGCGAGGCCAGACGGAGGTCGTACATGTGCACAGTGTTGACGAGGGTGGTGAGGCCGGCTGTGGTCGTACTTGTGCACAGTGTTGACGAGGGTGGCTAGGCCAGACGGAGGTCGTACATGTGCACAGTGTTGATGAGGGTGGCGAGGCCAGACGGTAGTCGTACATGTGCACAGTGTTGACGTGTAGCGTGTTCTGGGCGGTGTTGATCACGCATCTTATCTTACTTAGCACAACGTCAGCCAGATCACTCAGCGACATAAGGTGTCCCGTTACTAAGGAAAACTGTTGAAAAATATTGTAAATGTAATAAAATGAGTGATCTGTAATTGTCATAGTAACTAGTTCTGTTTAATAAACCATTATTGAATATAGTGAAACTCGTGTCGTATGTACTCAGCAACTCAACTGTTGTCACCATCCATCTAACTGAAAAGCATATTTAATTACAAGTGAATTTGTTAGTGTGACAAAACCGAACTGGAGAGGAAACATTGAGATTCCATACCACCAGCAGCGGTACTGGTTGGCGCCTCCCACGCTGGTGTGAGGGGCTGTGCCACACCCACACCCCGTGACACACCCGCTGACACACCCACTACACCCTCTGACACACCTGCCACCCCCCCTGACACACCCCCCTGACACACCCGCCTTACCCCCCTGACACACCCCCCTGACACACCCGCCACACCCCCCCTGACACACCCGCCACACCCCCTGACACACCCGCCACACCCCTAACACACCCGCCACACCCCCCTGACACACCCGCCACACCCCCTGACACACCCCCTGACACACCCGCCACACCCCTTGACACACCCGCCACACCCCCTGACACACCCGCCACACCCCCCTGACACACCCGCCACACCCCCCTGACACATCCGCCACACCCCCCTGACACCCGCCACACCCCCCTGACACACCCGCCACACACCCCTGACACACCCGCCACACCCCCCCTAACACACCAGCCAAACCCCCCTGACACACCCGCCACACCCCCTGACACACCCGCCACACCCCTTGACACACCCGCCGCACCCCCTGACACACCCGCCACACCCCCTAACACACCCGCCACACCCCATGACACACCCACCACACCCCCCTGACACACCCGCCACACCCCCCCTGACACACCCCCCTGACACACCCGCCACACTCCCCCTGACACACCCGCCACACCCCTTGACACACCCGCTGCACCCCCTGACACACCCCCCTGACACCCCCCCCTGATACACCCCCTGACACACCCGCCACACCCCCCCCCTGACACACCCGCCACATCCCCCCCTGACACACCCGCCACACCCCTCTGACACACCCGCCACACCCCTTGACACACCCGCAACACCCCTTGACACACCCGCTGCACCCCCTGACACACCCGCTGCACCCCCTGACACACCCGCCACACCCCCCTGACACACCCGCCACACCCCCAGACACACCCGCCACACCCCTTGACACACCCGCCACACCCCTTGACATACCCGCTGCACCCCCTGACACACCCGCCACACCCCCCCTGACACACCCGCCACACCCCCCCTGACACACCCGCCACACCCCCAGACACACCCGCCACACCCCCAGACACACCCGCCACACCACCAGACTCACACGCTGCACCCCCTGACACACCCGCCACACCCCCCTGACACCCGCCACACCCCCCTGACACACCCGCCACACTCCCCCTGACACACCCGCCACACCCCCCTGACACACTGGCCACACCCCTTGACACACCCGCCACACCCCTTGACACACCCGCTGCACCCCTTGACACACCCGCCACACCCCCCTGACACACCCGCCACACCCCCCTGACACACCCACCACACCCCCCTGACACACCCGCCACACCCCCCTGACACACCCGCCACACCTCCTGACACACCCGCCACACGCCCCTGACACACCCGCCACTCCCCTTGACACACCCGCCACTTCCCCTGACACACCCGCCACACCCCCCACACCCGCCACACCCCCTGACGCACCCGCCACATCCCCTGACACCCCTGACACACCCGCCACACCCCCTGACACACCCGCCACATCCCCTGACACCCCTGACACACCCGCCACACCCCCTGACACACCCGCCACATCCCCTGACACACCCGCCACACCCCCCTGACACACTGGCCACACCCCTTGACACACCCGCCACACCCCTTGACACACCCGCTGCACCCCTTGACACACCCGCCACACCCCCCTGACACACCCGCCACACCCCCCTGACACACCTACCACACCCCCCTGACACCCGCCACACCCCCCCTGACACACCCGCCACACCCCCCTGACACACCCGCCTTACCCCCCTGACACACCCGCCAAACCCCCCTGACACACCCGCCACACCCCCCCTGACACACCCGCCACACCTCCCTGACACACCCGCCTTACCCCCCTGACACACCCGCCAAACCCCCCTGACACACCCGCCACACCCGCCACACCCCCTGACACACCCGCCACACCCCCTGACACACCCGCCACACCCCCCTGACACACCCGCCACACCCCCTGACACACCCGCCACACCCCCTGACACACCCGCCACACCCCTTGACACACCCGCCACACCCCCTGACACACCCGCCACACCCTCCTGACACACATGCAACACCCCCCTGACACATCCGCCACACCCCCCTGACACACCCGCCACACCCCCCCCTGACACACCCGCCACACCCCCCCTGACACACCCGCCACACCCCCCCCTAACACACCCGCCAAACCCCCCTGAGACACCCGCCACACCCCCTGACACACCCGCCACACCCCTTGACACACCCGCCGCACCCCCTGACACACCCGCCACACCCCCTGACACACCCCCTGACACACCCACCACACCCCCCTGACACATCCGCCACACCCCCCCCCTGACACACCCCCCTGACACACCCCCCTGACACACCCGCCACACTCCCCCTGACACACCCGCCACACCCCCCTGACACACCCGCCACACCCCTTGACACACCCGCTGCACCCCCTGACACACCCGCCACACCCCCTTGACACACCCCCCCTGATACACCCGCCACACCCCCCTGACACACCTGCCACATCCCCCCTGACACACCCGCCACACCCCTCTGACACACCCGCCACACCCCTTGACACACCCGCCACACCCCTTGACACACCCGCCACACCCCTTGACATACCCGCTGCACCCCCTGACACACCCGCCACACCCCCCTGACACACCCGCCACACCCCCCTGACACACCCGCCACACCCCCCTGACACACCCGCCACACCCCTAGACACACCCGCCACACCCGCCACACCCGCTGCACCCCCTGACACTTCCGCCACACCCCCCTGACACACCCGCCACACCCCCTGACACACCCGCCACACTCCCCCTGACACACCCGCCACACCCCCCTGACACACCCGCCACACCCCTTGACACACCCGCCACACCCCTTGACCCACCCGCTGCACCCCTTGACACACCCGCCACACCCCCCTGACACCCCCCTGACACACCCGCCACACCCCTCTGACACACCCGCCACACCCCCCTGACACACCCGCCACATCCCCCCTGACACACCCGCCACACCCCCTGACACACCCGCCACACCCATTGACACACCCCTTGACACACCGGCTGCACCCCCTGACACACCCGCCACACCCCCCTGACACACCCGCCACACCCCCCTGACACACCCGCCACACCCCCTGACACACCCCCCTGACACACCCGCCACACCCCCCTGACACACCCCCCTGACACACCCGCCACACCCCCCTGACACACCCGCCACACCCCCCTGACACACCCGCCACACCCCCCTGACACACCCGCCACACCCCCTGACACACCCCCCTGACACACACGCCACACCCCCCTGACACACCCGCCACACCCCCCTGACACACCCGCCACACCCCCCTGACACACCCGCCACACCCCCCTGACACACCCGCCACACCCCCTGACACACCCCCCTGACACACACGCCACACCCCCCTGACACACCCGCCACACCCCCCTGACACCCCCCTGACACACCCGCCACACCCCCCTGACACACCCGCCACACCCCCCTGACACACCCGCCACACCTCCTGACACACCCGCCACGCCCTCTGACACACCCGCCACACCCCCCTGACACACCCGCCACACCCCCCTGACACTCCCGCCACACCCCCTGACACACCCGCCACACCCCTTGACACACCCGCCACACCCCCCCTGACACACCCGCTACACCCCCTGACACACCCGCCACACCTCCTGACACACCCGCTACGCCCTCTGACACACCCGCCACACCTCCTGACACACCCGCCACACCCCCCTGACACACCCGCCACTCCCCTTGACACACCCGCCACTCCCCCTGACACACCCGCCACACCCCCCACACCCGCCACACCCCCTGACGCACCCGCCACATCCCCTGACACACCCGCCACATCCCCTGACACCCCTGACACACCCGCCACACCCCCTGACACACCCGCCACATCCCCTGACACACCCGCCACACCCCCCTGACACACCCGCCACACCCCCTGACACACCCGCCACACCCCCCTGACACACCCGCCTGACACACCCGCCACACCCCCCTGACACACCCGCCACACCCTCCTGACACACCTGCCACACCCCCCTGACACCCGCCACACCCCCCCTGACACACCCGCCACACCCTCCCTGACACACCCGCCTTAC